TACTTATTACATAATGCCAACCTTTGTCTTGTAGTATAATTTCACACAAAAATATAGTACAATTTGCCCTCATTATGCATTAGTTCATTAATAACTATATTACATAGCTATAAATAAATTATAATGTTGCCCACTAGCAGAGTTATAGTTAGGATCTGTGAGATTTTCACAAACCCCATGTTCATTTAAATTATCCTTGAGAACACATGACAACTTCAGTTAGTCATATATGAGGTTGGGTCAAGAAGAGAAAAATCACTCACAATTGTCATTCTAATTGCAACACAAATCTTAATTAACTGAAATACTACATCTAAAATTACTTCGGTATTTAAGTCTATATATACACTGTACACAACACATGTACCTAAGTTCCCCCTAGCGCATGATGCAAGTGAGGACAGAGCACACCACGTATAACCAAGTCATCCAGGCAGCGCCCTAACGCCGACACAGCGCACTGAGAGAAAACACTAAACGAAATGCTGAACGTTCGTAAGGGTATCCAGCACATCACAAAATGAAATGAAGGGAAAACCTGTTATGTTTAGCCTAACAATTAGCCAATAGAATGAATAATCTTCAAATGTCTAATCAATGTGTCTGAATCATACAGATGTGGATTTCACCTCAAGGTTAAGAAAAACTAGAAACAGGAACCATTCAGCATCGCACAAGGTTGTCTTACACAAGAGTGAGCTGAGTGGCTCGGCAGGCTGGACTGCTGGTCAGGGACACTGCGGGAGGGAATGTCGCACTGGAGATGAGATAAGATGATTTCTAGGGTCCTTTCTCATATGTACTATATAATACGCTTAAAGTTTGGTTAGTGTATTACTAACATTTGACATTATTTGAAATATTGAGCTAAAAACAGAAGTTAAATTTATACTATTGAACTTTAAAAATATTCTCTAAATTCAAAACTACCGGAAATAATCCTTTAGTTAACTTGTAATATGTTGATAAGCCGATTCTTGAACAATGAAATACAGCACTAAATGACTTACCACACTGAGGCCTTAGAGCGGTTTGCAACACAAAAACTCTATGTACAAAGAGGTCTTTTTCCTACTGGCAACACCAAAGATAAAACTGTCACTGAGCTTGAAATCTAGAAAATACATACATAATGAGTAGAAAAAAAAAACAAACATTGGGCACGTAATACTTTCTAGCCGGCAGCATGTGGCACTGCCATGACACACTAATGATCCAGGTATGATTTTAGTACCTGTGTCCAAATTACACTGAACTTGTTGAATAGCTGTGTTCCCCATGCCATGTATCATCCTCATTACTTAACAGACGTTACAGACAGTTAGGTACTAGATCATAAATACCTAATAATACAAAGTGATTCCTATTGCAAAGTATGTTAAGTACTAAACAGAGTTTGACACATCTCAAGAAGCTGCTATAGGTAAACCCAAGCAGCAGGTAAGGCAAAGAGGAAAAAAGAAGGTGGCCTACAAAGGCATAACTTTAACAACCTGGCAAAATTATTTAATAATGAGAAGCAACAATAGCAGAAAAGCAAATGGACATTCACTAATCAAAGGTCAATTTCCTAGTGAAGAATTTTCCAACTGGAAGAGGCAAAGCAATGAACTGCAGATGCACCAAAGGAGAGCCCTACGTCATATGCAACATGGAGTGACTGCTGTGTTGTGCTTTCACACAGTCAGAACAAGACAAATGATCATCTCAGTTTTGATAGGGTAAATGACAAACATGCACACGGTTCCAAAAAGAACAATTCACGTCTTCTTAAAAAATTTAAATGCGTGATAAATTCCTTCAGATGACTTACAAACCAATCAAATTTCTGACCACATTAGTATAAATTAACACAAGTCCAAAATGTGTCAATTCCACACTGCAGAGGCAGTGTGTCAACTGTGCCCTCTACCAACAGAGTTTTAAACTGCCACAAATTCTTACTTTACTTTGGGTCTTTTGGGGTTCTTCAGTCTATGACTTTGCTCTTTGTTCTTAAGATATTTCATTAACCCACCATGTTTAATAAGTGCAAAATAAGCATGTTAGAAGTCCTAGGAAGACGAAACATGTAATTATATTAGAAGTGAAAACAGAGATAATAAAAAAATACCCAAAGTGGTAAGACAAATATTATATATGCATATGGAATGAACTGCTTCAGAGAGAAATAATTCTTAAGGGCAAAGAGAATTTCATCATTAAAAAATTACTGTGCCTATGCACTTGACAACAATCAGCAAGAGATAAGGAAATGTGAGGAAGAAAACCTTGAAGTACAGAATTAGCACCATCAATGTCAGATGTTGACTTGCCTACTGGTTACTCAGGAGAAGCTGGGAATTCATTCAACAACTCAAAAAGTAAGAGTGTTCTAGGTGCTGCTGATGAAACTTCTGCCCCAACCATGAATGATTCCACAGGATCAAGCTCCATTACAGTAACCACATCAAAATTAGGGGCAGGACTGCAAATGCAAACAAGTGTGGCTTTGAAAGAATTCCTTACAACAGTCAAAGAGATAATCTGTGCCTTGATATATTGCCTGGAACTTAAGAAATGTTACGCTAGTTTCCTTGTAATACTCAATTTTGCCAACTCTTTCAAATTCAAAGCTTCACACAGTCAATCGTATGTATTAAAAAAAACTTTTGTAGATTTTAAATGGTTAAAGTAAAACTCTTATTATAAAAGTTCCATTAATTCATCTGCTAATCACATATTAACCATATTTAGGAAACACAAAATTGCTTATAGTCTAATGGGAAGTAAACATGAACGTTATTTCCCAGGATTACAATTTAATTTTACTGAAGGAGGGGTTCAGATCATAAAAAAAAAAAGTTCTTCTATAACAGGTATTTAAACTCTCATATATATTATACACATTTGAACTGTGGTAAGTAAATTCAAAATTTATGTACATTTAGATCGGAAAGTGACACTTTCACTGAGAACTAGAAAAATGAAACAGAACTAAAGTTTTACTTTCTATAAAGTAGTATTTTTATTAAACATGAACTCTCTTACTGACATTAACAATTACAAAATTGAAATATATTTTGAAGAATATATTTGAAGAATGTATGAAGAAATTTGCTTTCCTTAAAACAAAGTATGCACCTCTCTCATATCACTGTCTTAAAAAAAAAAACATATTTTTTCGATGGCAAATTATAAACCAGCCACTGCTTTTCTTCTGATTTTACATTTGACCTGCTAATAAATTTTACGCATTACATGTTCAATTCTGAAGTTTTAATTATAAAACCATTTATAACTGTGAATTTAATTTACAAATTTCATCAAAATGTTATAGAAAACACTACATTATATTCAGAAAATGCAAGTACTTATTTAATAATTAAATGTAGAGCTCTTTTCAAACAATTACGATTTAAAAGAATTTCCTTCAGGTTTACTCAATATGAAGAGACTGATGGTAGGGGCAAGAGCAGCAATTCTGAACCACGAGAGACAGAATGCATGACTTCCAACCTAACCGGCCAATAAAACCAAAATGTTATCAATAGTACACCCCCGTTCTATGAACGGTGACTAACGCATATTTAAACCTGAGTGTTGCTGGTAGCTTTAAAACAAATTGTACCGCAGTCTGAGGAAGGCCACACAGGATGCGCACGTACAAAGCCTGCTGTCAGTGAGCAATGCATCACGTCCCCAGTGAACAGCGTGGGCTACACACTCCAGCTCAGAGGGAGCGGAATGTCCTACAGAAGACCGCGGCAAGAAAGGCCTCGCAGGAAAGAGAGGGCTTTAGCTAAATTTTATAGTGCAGTGTCAGAAACTCCCTCTCAGAAGCAGACATGCCTGGGTTTGAGAACCAGCTCCACAGCTTCCAGCTTAGTGCAGTTACTCCACTTCCCTTCAAGTTGTTTCATCAACAAAGTAAGAGTGAAAACTACTTATAAGATTGTGAGGATTAAGACAATGTACATAAAACATGGGGCAAAGGGACTGATGTTCAGCAAGTGCTCACTCAGCGTTTTCCCCATGACCCTTGCCTCATTTATCTGATGACGACACTGGATTTGTGCACTGCTCTTAGTGGTGAAGGAGACCCGCACAAGCAGAAATGTATTCTGGAAGGAGCGTCTGGGACCTGACACCACCCCCAGGGTATAATAAACAAGGTGAGTGAGCAGACGCTAAAGAGCCCTGGGGAGACGCGTTTCTTAAGAGGTGCTGGGACCAGAACCGTACCACTCCTATGGGGACAAGGCAGGGCTTCAGGGAAGCCACATTCAATAACCCGGTGTTCCAAGGAAAACAACGTGGCCACTCAGGATCTAAGAGTTTCTGATTCCTTAGCTCTATCGAGGACATGAATTTATCTTTCCTCTCTTACACGATGCCAATGAGATGAAAACAGACGGACTAGAAGAGAGGGACATGCCAAGGGAAATAAAACCATGACCCAGAACAGCCAGAGACAAGGGAGATGACAATCTCAAATAAAACAAAAACTAAAAACAGGCTTCATGCAAAAGAATGGGAATCAGAACAGCATCAGACTTCCCGTCGAGACGTCAGTGGAGCAGTAACTTCAAAGCTCGGGGTTCAAATTACGTTGCCTACGCAGTCCCGTGCGGAGACAAACGACACAGCACTCAGGCTGAGGGTGCAGTGCGCGACGGTACCACTGCCCTCCCCCTTCAGGAAACCCTCCCACCCAAAGGCTGAGTGTGGGAAGGGACCTGAAAATGGCTAAACACAGCCTGCTGAGCGGGCCTTTACAGCAACGAGGCTGAGAGTACCCGCTAGTATTCACTGTGACTGAAACACACACTCAACGTCTGCTTAAATTACAAGGTTAATCACTACAAGAGTACAAGGAGTAAACGTACTTCATATCCGCAGATCCTGGAAGCTGTTGTGTTTCAAATAAAGCACAATATGCTTTGAGCAGGAGGCTAACAACTCTGAAATGAAAAATTACTAAAAAAGTAACCTAGCAAAAGCAATTCTCAATAGACGAGCTGAAGAGCAGAGCAAACATAGCTGGTGAACTGAAGTAATCCTCCAGTAGGAAGATCCTTTCACTAGGGAGTGGGACGAGCACAAAAAAGTAAGAGAGGAAGTAAGAGACGTTACGTCTAGACTCACACATTTTAACAAGTATAATTAGAGAAGAGGAAACCAGGGGAGCAAGGAAGGGGACACAACAGAAAAAGATTTCAGAGCTCAAGAAACATGGAAATTGTCAGACTAATAGGGCTCCAAGGCTGCGCAGCAGGATGAAGAAAAGACATGGCTCTTGAGGACTTTTCAGAACTCTAAGAATGAAAGGAAGAAGTCTACTTAATTCTAGAAAACAAAACAAAGAAGCCTATCTGCAAAGGAACAAGAACACACAGTTCATCATCAGTAGTGCCACCAAACTAAGGTTTTAAAAAGTCAAATTTATGGGGAAAAACTTACATAAGCAGAATGCACTTGCTGCAATCTCCTCCACCCTTCCCACTCTCTCCCTCTTCAGTGAGCAACGCAATAGTCTGCTGTAACCTTCTACTCCTTTTTCTTATCTTCCTTGTCCTCTTTCATTCACGCTTCATATCCAAACCCAAACCATCAGGAAATCCTACTGCCATCATCTTCAGATGGCATCTAGAAGGCACTTGCCTCTCACTCCTGCCATACCCAGGCCCACTACTGTCTCTCCCTGTATTATTTCAACAGCTTCCTCATCTGGTCTCCGTGTATCTACTCTTGCCCACGTACCATATATTCTCAGCACTGCAACCAGAGTTATCATTTTAAAACCTAAGAGGGAGAAATTTTCTCAAAATCTTTCGATGGCTCCCTGTCTTTCCCTCAAAGAAAAAAACATCCTTATGATACCCTATAAAAAGTCCTACAAAGGTCCTTCTCAGTAACTCTTTGAACTCATTTCTTTCTCCTCTCCTCAACTCAGTCACCCAGTTCCAGCTATTCCTTGAACACATTCTTTCCACATGAAGCCCTAGCACTGACTATCCCTGAGCTGGAATGCTCTCTCTCCCAGGAACTCTCATGGCAAACCCCCTCATCTAATCTGCTTTTGCTCAACTACTTTCTTTCGAGTAATGCCTACCCGGATGACGCTGGTTAAAATTACATCCAAAACTCACTCACCTTCTCCCCATTGCTGACATTCTCAAACACACACCAGTTTACCCTTTTTTTCTCCATAACATTTATCAAGATGGTTCAATTTAAGAAAAGCAATCAATGTAATACATCATATCAATAGGACAAAGGGAAAAACTACACAGTAGTCTCAACAGATGCAGAAACTTGACAAGATCCAGCACTGTTTCACGATTTAAAGCACTCAGGAAGCCAGGATTAGAAGGAGTTTCCTTAACATGATACAAGGCATCCATGAAGCGCCCACGGCTAACATCACACTCACCAATAGTAAAAGACAAAATTTCCCCCCAATCCAAGGCTGCCTGCTTTTACCACTGCTATTTAGCATTGTACGGAAAGTTCCAAGCACAGCAATTATGCAAGTAAAATAAACAGAAGGCATCCAGCTGGAAAGAAAAAAGTAAAACTACTTATTTGCAGACGGCACAATTCTATATGCAGGCACACCCCGGAGATACCGTGGGTTCAGTTTCAGACAACTGCAAAAAAATACTGCAATAGAGAGAGACAAGGCAAAATGTTTGGTTTCCCAGTGAGTATAAAAGCTATGATTACACCGTGCAGTTGGCCCTTGAGCAACAGGGGTTTGAACTGCACAGGTCCACACAGTGCACCCCATAGTGCTGCACGATCCGAAGCTGCTGAATCTGTGGATGAGGAACCTCAAATACAGAGGGCTGACTCTAAGTTATACTTGGATTTTCGACTGTGCAGAAAGTCGGCACCCCAACAACCCCCTGGTTTTTCAAGAGTCAACTGTAGCATACAACAGTTATTTCTAAAAAAAAGTACATTGTTTAGCATATTGTATGTATTGTATGTCTAAAAAATGTACATACCTTAATTAAAATACTTTATTGCTAAAAGAACACTAATCATCATAGGAGCCTTCAGCAAGTTGTAATCTTCTTGCTGGTGGAGGGTCTTGCCTGGATGGGATGGCTGATGACTGATCAGAGTGGTAGTTGCTGAAGTCTGGGATGGCTGTGGCAATTTCTTAAAATAAGACAACCAATAAAATTTGCCACACAGGTTGACTCCTCCTTTCACGAACAATTTCTCTATAGCATACAATGCTTTTTGATAGCATTTAACCCACAATAGAACTTCTTTTGAAACTAGAGTCAACCCTCTCAAACCCTGCTGCTGATTTATCAACTAAGTTTATGTAATATTCTAAATCTTTTGTTGTCATTTCAAGAATCTTCACAGCATCTTCACCAGGAGTAGATTCCATCTCAAAACATTTTGCTCATCCATAAGAAGCAACTCCTTTAAGCTTTATATTTATAACAAACTGAATAATGAAAAAGTTTGAAATATTCTAGGAATTACCAAAATGTAACACAGAGACATCAAGGGAGCAAATGTCATTGGAAAACTGATGCCAAAAGACTTGCTCCACACAGGGTTGTCACCAACCTTCAATCTGAAAAAACATGCAGTGCCTGTAAGCACAATAAATCGAGGTATTTCTGTACAGAAAAGCCCACAGACTCCACACAAAGAGCTTACTAGAGCTAATATAACAAATAAATTCAGCAAATTCGCAGGTATAAGATCAACATACGTCGATCAGTTGTGTTACTCCATGCCAGCATTTACAAAAGCATTCAAAATACCCAGGAATAAATGCAGCCAAGCAAGTGAAAGATCTGTGCAGTGAACAGTTACAAAGCGTTGCTGAAGGACATTAAAGCCTAAATAAATGGACAGACAGCCCACGCTCAGGGTTTGGAGGCAAAATACTGCGGAGACAGCAGTACTTCCCAAAGTGATCCACAGACTCGGTGCGATCCCCGTCAAAATTCTAATAGCCTTTTTAAATAGAAATAGATAAGCTGATCCTCAAAATCACATGCAACCACAAGGGGCCTAGAGGACAAAAACAACACTGAAAACGAAATAAAGCAGGGGGACTCACAACGATTTAAAACCTTACTACAAAGCTACAGTAATCAGTGTGGTGCTGGAATGAGGGCAGACGTACAGGGCAATGGAATAGATCTGAGAAGCCAGAAGTAAACCCAGACATTCATGGCCAACTGATTTAAAACAACAGTGCAAAGACCATTCAAGGAGGGGAAGAACCGTCTTTCCAACAAACGGTGTTAGGGAGACAGGACAATCGTGTGTAAAAGAATGAAGACAAAACCGCGGCTCAGATCAAGCACAGAAATTAAATCAAAGTGGATCAACAGAGTAAGTGTCAGAACTAAAACCATCACGCTCCTAGGATGAGGCTTAGGGATGAATCCTTATGATTTGGACTTGGCAATGGACTCTTAAATTTGATACCAAGAGCATGACGAACAAGTGAAAAAATAGATAATTTGAACTTTATCAAAATAAAAAACTTGAAAAAACAAAGTAAAAAACTTTAGGCAAAAAACATTATCAAGATATATCTGATAAGGATTTAATATCAAGAATATATTAACTGAACAAAAAAACAGAAAGTCCTATTTTTTAAAAAGGGGGAAGGACTGAACAGACCTTTCCCAAATGAAGAAATACAAATGGCTGACAAGGCCATGAAAACACGTCCGCCATCTTGGTCGTTAAGAAAATGCAAATGGGAACCACAGTAAGATGCCACTTCACACCTGTTAGAATAGCTTTATTTAAAAAAAACCTGGAAAATACCAAGTGTTGATGAGAACGCAGAGACACAGACACCCTTGTACATTGCCAGTGAAAACGTCAAAGGTGCACCCACTGTGGACAACAGTTTGGCGTTCTTAAAAAGGCAACACAGAATTACCACACGACTCAGCTATTCCACTCCTGGGCATATATCCAGGTGAAATGAAAACTTGCATACACACGGAGACTTGTACGTGTCTGTGACATCATCATTCGTAACAGCCCCCCCAAAAGGGTATGTGCTGCGTGTACCTGCCACCGACACGGACGAACCTTGAAAACACGCTACGTGAAAGAAGCCAGACACACAGAGGTCACGTACTGTACGACCCCTTTCATATGGAATGGTGAGAACAGGCAACTTATAAAGAGAGAAGGTCAAGGGTACCAGGTAATAGTGGAAAGGGGGAATAGGAAATGATTACTTAACAGATACAGGGTGTTGAAACACCTTTGAGATGAGAGAGTTAGTTGGTGGTTGTGTAACATCGTGAGTATACTAAATACTACTGAGTTGTACACTTAAAATGAACTGGATATTACATAAATTTCACCTCAATTTTAAAAAGATGGCAGTCATAAATGGGCCCATGTTCTGACAACATCTAATTCAGAGCAAACTTCCATTTTTTAGATCCTCTCCAAAATTACCCAACCAAGGTCCCATAACAGGTTCTAACACCCTCTTAAAAAAGGTATTCCCTAGAGTGTGAAAAATCCTTCACTGCCACAAGTTAAAAACGTGTTCAGCTATAGGTGTTCTTGCTGGTTGTCTTGGCTGGAAGATATCGACACGACTAGCAACTAACTTCTCAGCAGAAACAAGAGAAGCCAGAACACAAAGGGGTCACAGCCTAGTTAAAAGAGAGGTTCCTGTGTGTGTTATATTTCAATTTTTAAAAAGACATGGAGCATTATCTTTTACATGCTGCATATGCAAAC